TGCCACCCTCAACTTTCATATTCGGATGACTGAGAAAATCAGTCGCACTGAACTCGAGATCCGGGCCGATAATGCCCTTCTGCGGCACAATCAGGCCCGGTATTAGGTCTGCGTACATGGAATGTACATAGGATGGAGCATTTTCACCCAGCGCCTGGTACCACAATAGAAAATACCTAGCGGGAGAAGAAGAATACAAGAAGATTAGTAAAGTAATTTACGAAAAAATAAGTTAAAAAAAACGTACCGTACGCCTTCGCGCCGCAACTTTGGTGAATTCCCCAAATGCAACAACTTGGCCATAATACGACTGATCGAATGGCATTGCCAACGACGCGCCAACAGCTCGGGCAGCCAACAGAGTATTTTCTCCAGTAGCCATAATGAGCCATCCAATTCCTCGCGATGTGCTTTATGTACTAAATTGTCAAATGTAATTATTTTGTATTGATTAGCAATTTATGTACATACATAGAGAAATTGTAGCATAGAATTAAAACAAAAGTTATGCATTGTACAGCAGGCAAGCAACAACACATATTCCATGTTAGCACTTATGATGAACATTATATAATATTTGATCAGTGAGTCGTGTACAGTGGCGAGACAAATTGGATAAAGATACTCTTAAAATGTTTGGATGAATATGAGATATATAATAGATTGCGAAAGCATGTGAGATGAAAATTTTCAATAATAAGATTTAGTAAATGTACAATATTTCGTCGCTGGAATAATGAAATCAGGGTTTGAAAATGCTGTAATATTTTTATTTAATTTGCTTTTTCTGTGCTTTAACTTCGGCATGTATGATATCGAAAGCAAAGCAAAAGCAATTCAGAAAAAAACAAATGCTTTGGCTGCCGTTTTGCTATGAAATTTCGAAAGCAATTTGTGGAAGCACAAAAACAGCGCAGCAGAAGCAAATCAACATCAATTTGACTATAAATTTGCTGCGAAACACCGAATTGGCAGAAACAGGGGATATTATATGTATGCGTGCGCCAATCCACTAGTCGCTTACCCTGATAAGCTTTGCATTGATCGCGGAGTTAATATGTACTTAGATAATATACCATGCTGCAAAAGCGTCATGTGCGCAACACAGCCAAGCAGATAACAGCACAGCAAAAGCACTATCACAGCAAATCAAAAGCAATAAAATTGTTTAAATAAACTGCCGATAAAAAAACAGAATAAACTTTTCAAAGTCACAGCAAAAGCAAAGCAGTTCGAATCAAAATCGAAAATTTCAAAGCTAAGCAAAAGCAAAAATAGTAATGCTGTTGCTGCTTTGCTGACAGTTTTTCAAACCCTGTCTAGCACATCAAGTAAATAGCACCACATAAACCCACATTTCGAACATCTTACAAAAATTCAACAAACTTTAACATCTACACACAAAAATTTTACATATCTTTTTTAAATTTAGTATGTATATCTTTTTTAAGTTTTTATTTAAATCAAATTTGACGATGGAATCTTGATTTTTTACGCAAAATGGAAGATAAAGCATTGTCTAATATAAGTGTGGCACCATTTTAAAACAAGTTTTTGTCGAAAAATGTAACAGCTCGTGAGATTTGCTTATATCACCAAGGATTTCAATAAATGCACAGTCGGTGTTTATAAGCAGCATTTTCATACATCATTTCATAAATCTACTTATTGAATGATAGTTATGGTATGAGATTGATACACTTTGGCTGGATAAACCAAATTTGCGTTATTTGTATATTTACGATGTAGTAAAACCGGAAAATAGGATATTCTAACTACCAAACGGAAGTGAAGCATTGGTGTTATGATAAGAGCATTATGTAAGTAATTAATGGCAATGAATTCCCTTTATATACGATTTTTCAAGTATGTTGCAGTTAAAAACAAATGTGTAAAGTGCACTGATCCTTTTGATTTTATAAACTTTTAGAGAAAAAGTGCCGACGAAAGCTCGAGAACCAAAAGCGTATTTCCAAATGCAACAAAATAGGCAACTTAACTGTAACTGATTCGAATAAATGTTTTCATACAAACAAAAAAAAAATCGACTACTATTCCGTTAAAATACGCATGAGTAAAAGAACCAAATAGAAGAAAATGTGAATGGCATGAGAATTCGATAAAGAAGAGAAGCCCCGCAGCAAAAACTGCGAAAAATCAACTGCAAACTTACCAATGTGAAACGGAAGTTCTGCCATTTTTTTTGTTAAGTTTTGTTTGTGTTTGTCAAAATCGAATACATAGCGAGAAATAAGTGGTGTTTAGTGTGGGAAAAGAGAAGAGAAACAAATTGAGAATGACAAAGAGAATATTTCGATTATGTACAACAGTATTTTTCATTAATAATAAAAAAAAGATACAAACACATTTGCACGTAAAGAAACTAATACAATGGCAGAATCACGCGCCCACACACAACGAAAACATACATATGTGTGTGTATTTTCATGTGTGATTTTTTTGCATTTTATTGTTGTCTTTTGCGTCATTTGTAAACAAATTGTTCTGTGCTATTGTTTGATGTTTAATTTTACACTATTTTATACACTTTTTTGCACATTTAGAGAATTTTTAATAGCACTGCTGCGTTGCATTAGGGAAGAGTAATAAACAATGCAAACTTAAATCAATAATTAAATAAATATAAGTAAATAAAATGAAGTTAATCTTTTTCGGTCACAACACCTAAACGCTTTAAAGTTAAAGTTATACAAATACAAGTTGAGTTTATTTAACAAAAAAAAAAATTGCTCAAACTTGGCTTAGCATTAGAAATTGTGAGGCTATGGTATAAAACCTGCCTAAATTTAAAAACTTTTAAAATATCTTTTTTGGTTACTTAACTGTTAAACTTACCTTTTTGCTTTAAGTTTGCCTCCGCCTGAATGAAGGTATCGTAAAGTATAAAATAAACGTGACTGTAGTTCGTTTCGAATAGTGATTTCGCCTCTTCTTGGTCAACATTGTCTGTAATGCATAGGCAATGAAAAGCAATTTTAAAAGTTTTTTTGAGAAAAAATTTGAGTACGGACATTTAAACGTAAACAATAATTTCATTTCATTTTGTCGGTAGCTTGTCCCGAGAAGATCCCTAACATGCGTTGAAACGGGACTGAAATGGTCCCTTACCAGTCGCAAAATTATTCCAAAACTAGACCTGAAAGACATAGTGTAAAACTCGTCCCGACTTAGTCCTGGAATAGTCGTGAACTATGGAGGAATGATGCTGAAATAGTCCTGAACCAGTCCCGAAATGAGCCTGAACTAGCCCGAAATGAACCCAAACTAGTCTTGAAAAAGTCTTGAACTATTCTCGAGCGGTCCAGGTCTAGTCCCAAAATTATCCTGAAATAGTCGACATCTAGTCTCGAAATGGTTCTGAAATAGTCCTGAGTAGGTTCTGTTATGATCCCGAACTAGTCGGAACGGCCCCGAAATAGCATTTTATTAGTCCAAAAATCACCTAGAACTACCCGCAAAATGGACCTAAACCTATTACCAAAATAGACCTAAAACTATTACCAAAACCGCCCTGAATTGGTCCCAAATAGAGCCCGAACTAGTCTTGAGATGGACCAAAAACAGTCCCGAAGGCTTTATTATTGACCTACATATTTCGGCAGCCAGTTCGAAAACGCCCTATCTCAGAAAACTTTTCAAGAAAAACGCCCTATCAGAGACCATATTCAATATATTTTAAAGTGGGATAGGACGTTCTTCAACAAAATTCTGAGATAGCGAGTTATCGAACTGGCTGCCGAGATGTAGTATACCTGCACTACTGCACTAAGGTCTATGCTACGTTATTGTAAATTAGGCATGAGTTATGGGTGCACTATCCTTTTGTAAATATTTAGCGGAATAAAGAAACATTCGATTTATGATATCGAGAACGCCGTCACTTAGCCTTCTAAATATTCATAAATTATTAAATTAATCGCAAAGTAAGTACCTAAACCGTTCAGTTAACTAAACATTATTTCGCGCGAAATGGAGGGCGACTTAGTCAAAACAGAGGAGTATTCACTGATGCAACTACAGGCATTGTTCGCCGCCGTGGTCGTCAACGCAAGCGGCGCTAAAGCATCGTTGGCCGCCAAGTTAGGTTAACATTCGGCAGAAGCTCTAGGATTATGCCCGGGCGCTAACGATAAGGCTGTAGAAAAAGGCGGATTTTTTGCGGCAAAGCTCCGCATCCCTCTTATTCGGGAGGGCGTAGAGCCCAACCACGGGCCAGAAATATACTTTTGCTGCCTTTGCTAGTGACGACTCCATCCGAACTACACTTCGGTTAGATGCAATTCCTGCAACGGATGGAGTCACCTAAGACTTTGTTCTGGCCTTAGGTCTTACCGGGAGTTAACCACAAGCTTTGTGACCCCCTGTTGCTCAAGCCAAACGGAACTATCCGCCGCCACGGCTATCCGCTCGCGCTGTGCTCAAGTGCGAACCAGCACCCAAAGAGCCTGCACAGCTCCTAGATGCTGCACTGAGCAACAGCAAACCTCCCCACCCCCTCAACCCTCACACCAATTTACCGGCCGGTCCATCTCGCGTGTACAATCCAACCAACAGCTGCTGGTTGCCCACACCATCTTCTCCGTGTGCCAGAAAAGAGTATAGCGGAACGTGACATCAGTCAAATGCAACACATGCCTTAGCTGGTGCCACTTCCGTCTATGCTCTGGGCTACGCACCACACGCGAGTGGGCAATAATCTATTGTGCCTCCTGCTGTAGAACACTGCCGACGCACACAACATTGTACCCACTACAGCCACCCACCACCAGGCAACAACAGCAACTTCGTCGCGCGCAAAAGGCCCAAGGTAGACCCCAGACGTTCCTCACCCCCGTATCACGACCAGCCTCCCAAAGCATACGAAACTCGTACAACCGAACGACAACGGACTCCAGAGCAAGATTGAAGAGATAGCAGTCTTTATGGGTCGGCACGGTATATTGATAGCTGCGGTACCAGAAACGAAGTTGCACAGCAACTCAACTTTGCAGTATCGGCTTATCGAAGAAGACATCGACCCGAGGGACACCACCCTCCAATATCTGGGCATAGCTTTCCGGTCAGGATATCACCCTGACATAGGCGCGCTACTCAGAGGTGAAAACCGAATGGTAGTAGATTACTTCAACGCGCTCCACGTTCTTTGGCGCTCAAGACTGTCTAATGATCGTAGGGGAAACATATTACGACGACCACCCCACCTGCCGGTTCTACGTACCGGAATGACTCGGGTTTTACCCGACCAAGGGCATTTGTTTCGGCGATCTAACCTCGTTTAGGTCGGCGAAATATCTCAGAAGTTGTTCGTCCATAGGACTACATTTACTACGTATTCTTCTTCTCAGGCCTGGCATCGAGTCAAACCCACGGCCAGAAACCTACAGCTGCTGTGTCAGAGACGACTGCATCACAACTCCAACTCAGTCAAGTGCAATGCATGCAACGGGTGGAGTCCCCTCAGAGTCTTCTCAGGCCTACGGACTCATCGGCAGTGGACCATATCATTTGTGGCCCCCGCTGCTCAAACAGAGCAGCCTTCACGGATAGCCCCAGTCCAACTGAGCAGCTCAACACAAACACCACAGCACCACAACACAGCAACACAATAGACAACACCACAACGAGATCACGAGCGAGATAATGGTGGTGGCTTAGCGTTCATCACGCACCACACCGTGCAGTATCGTCTTATCGAAGCAGACATCGACCGCAGGGATACCACCCTAGAATGTCAGGGCATTGCTATCCGGTCAGGCGATGTTGAGCTCGAAATATTCAACGTTTATATACCCCCTGTCACCTGCTGCCCGGCGGGATATCACCCTGACATAGGTGCGCTCCTCAGAGGTGAAAACCGAATGGTAGTAGTTGACTTTAATGCGCACCACGATCTTTGGCACTCAAGCCTGTCAAACGATCGTAGGGGAACCGATCTGGCTGAGCAGATAAGACGATTCGACATTCTGCACAATGAACGACGACGCACTCGCCAGGATTATGGGCAGCTGCTGCAGCTCGCCAGACATAACAATAGTCAGCGCTGGTCTGATAAACAGCATATCATGGCGACCTATGCTGACCTTGGCATCAGACCATCTGCACATAGTCATCTCGATCGATAAACCAACCGACTTTGCTTCCGCGGAGCATCGAACCTATATCAACTTCTCCAAAGCTGATGGGATAGGCTTCGCGGAATTTTCGTAAAACACCTTGGATGCTTTCCCCACACCAACCGACGTCCACCTTGGTGAGCGTAAGTTCCGCAAGGCTGTCACCGCTGCTGCAGCCCGCTTCGTACCGGCAGGATGCATCACGGACCCACGTCCAAATTTCACTGCCGAAGCGGCTGTTCTAGCCGATGAGCGTGACAGCCTTCGTCAGGCCGGTCCCGGAGATCCCCCTATCAGGGATCTCAACGCGGAGATTCGGCAACTAGTGAACGTACATAAGCGGAAGAAGTGGGAAGAACATCTGAAGACCTGTAACTTCACCTCTGGTGTGAGTAAGCTATGGTCAACCGTGAGGTCACTGTCCAATCCGACGAAGCACGACGACAGAGTCGAAATTTCCTTCGGCGACCATGCCTTGTCGGACCCGGAGCGATGCGCGAGCTACTTTAGCCGGCAGTCCATACTGCATCCTCCGGTGGACAAAACCAAGCGTCGAGTGACCAAAATGCTGCACAAACTGCCAACAAATTGTGCCCCCCTTGCTTTCACCGGCGGTGAAGTTCAGGTGGCCATCGGGAAGGCGAAAGCCTCCAAAACCATGGGTCCCGACGGAATATGCTTGCTGATGCTGAAAAATTTGGGTCCTGCGGGGGTAGCGTACCTAACGGAGGTCCTCAACTTGTCAATGGCCACTCTCATCATCCCAGACATCTGGAACGTGGGGAGAGTGGTCCCACTGCTCAAACCGGGGAAACCTGCCAACAAAGGAGATTCCTATCGTCCGATAACACTCCTTTCCCCGGTAGCGAAGACACTCGAGGCCTTGCTACTCCCGTACTTCACAAACCACCTGATCCCAGCGAAGCATCAGCATGGTTTCCGTAAAGTGCAAAGTACAACAACAGGACCTAACGCCATAAACACTCAGATAACTCGTGGCCTTAACCGTAAACATCCCTGTGAAAGAACGATTCTAGTAGCGTTGGACCCGTCAAAGGCTTTTGACACTGTCAGCCATTCCACGCTACTAGAGGATATAGAGGCTTCCTCTCTCCCACAGAGGCTCAAACGGTGGTCGGCAAATTATCTGAGTGGTCGACACTCGTCGGTAATGTTTAGAGACAAATCGAGTAAACTTAAAAAAATAAAACAGGAGGTTCCACAGGGTGGTGTCCTTTCCCCGCTACTATTTAACTTTTACATTTCAAGGCTCTGTCAGCCACCAGAGAGAGTCTCGATTGTCTCTTACGCCGACGATTGCTCGATCATATCGACTGGGAATGGAATTGATGACCTGTGTTCGAAAGTAAACGGGTATCTCTCCGAACTTTCTCGCTTCTTCTGCGACCCTGTTCACAACCTGTACGAAGGTGGTCAGGCTACCGCTGGGAATTCACGTCGATGACACACCAATTCCGACGGTAAATAATCCCAAAATACTCGGAGTAACATTCGACAGCCTACTCTCATTCTCTGCGCACGCAATCGCTATTGTCGATAAAGTACAGAGCCGCAACAAGGTCCTCAAGTCGCTAGCCGGTAGTACTTGGGGCAAAGACAAAGAAACGTACTGGGAACATACAAAGCAATAGGTCGGCCGGTTTTAAACTACGCAGCACCAGTGTGGTCGCCGGGGACTAGTAGGACGCAGTGGACGGAAACAGACTGTACTGTACACCGCACTCAGGACAGCGACAGGATGCCTCCTGATGTCGCCCGAACATCATCTCCACGGCGAGGCACAAATGCTCCCCATAAAGGAGCACAACATAATGCTCTGCAAGCAGTTCCTGATCGGGAGCCACAGAAGTGGACACGCAAACAGACAGCTGCTTGCAGAGGAGCCCTCGCCTAGGCACGTCAGGAGGCATCTATATGAACTGACGGACGAAGTCCAGATGTTCATCAAGCAACCTCTGGACCCGTCATCTTACCGACTGGCCCTGAACGGCATTAACAGGGAGTCAGTCTCGAGTTATGTAGACTCTAGACCTGTGAATGCCGTTCTAGGCATACCGCCCCGGACATAGACGAGACAGAGCTTCATCTGCCTCGGGAGACACGAACGACAATAGCCCTACCTGAGTAGATTGAAAGAGGATGTGCCAAATGAGTGTCCGGCATGCGGAGAGACCCCACATGACTCGAAACATCTCTTCGCATGCCCGGAAAACCCGACAACCCTAACGGCTTTGTCCTTGTGGACCGCTTGTGTATCGCTTTCACAAAATGCATTAGCGGAACTTAACGTTAAACCACCACGAATAACTTAATATGAAGATTTAAACTTTCCCTAAAGGGGACTTTCGCAAAAGTAGTAACACGTTACATGTATGGAAGCGTTCTAGGTATTTGTCATGTAGAATTATTTATTGTGCCACAGGTATTTATCATATTAACATACATGTGCAATATTATATTTACCATCTTCATGAGATAGGTATGCAGCTCAATAGTTCGTAATCATTGGCACTGAGCTGGAGATTTGTTGCAGGTGCGTCATTAATAAAACAAACAAAAATGGCCATTAAGATACGAAGATGAACATCAAAGCGAAAGGTGCAAAAATACTATGATTCATAGTAGACCTGTTGGAATGTGAAGTTTTTTTTTGTGGCTAAACTCGCGGTTCACGGTAATTAGAAATGAGCATGTTTAAATGCAAAACGAATTAGCTTTTTTACTTATTTCTATATGGCATATTGAGTAACCGCTGACATGTACATTTAAACCATATCGAATTCCGTTTACAGCAGAATTGTTTCCACTTAATAGCGGGTAATGTTTAATTTCTTTATTTATTAACAAACCCAGCGGACTCATGCGAGTGATACTGTGAGTGACTTTTAGACTGCAGATTCGTGTCTTCGTTGTCATAAATAGTAGATCTTCACCATTTTATTGGTAAAGAAAATTTGTTTAAATACAATTTCTATATGGGAAAAAAATGAAAAAAACTATGTAACTGAAGTTATTTAATGAAAGCTTTGGCTGTATGTATGTAATGCTCCTGTCTACATATAGGTATATATGTATATGTATGTGCCTACTTTTCATGCTCGTGGCGCAAACAAGAATCAGAACAAATTGAGTACTAGATAGCCATAAACCTCACATACCGTTTACTTAAATTGAATTCGTATAACTTCGCAAAGCATATACACACGCATCTAGAAAGCGGTCGCTACAACTGAATCGCAGCAAAACTAATTCTTACAAAATAAATGTGAATAGGAAAGATATCAAAAGCGTGAAAAGAACCCACAAGACACGGGGCCACGTTTAACGTTCACGCCGGTAATGCGAACAGCTGCCGCATGAAGTGGCCAAAAGCAAACATCAAATAACACAACTGAGTTTAATAAAGCGCACATTACTGCTCTGATGCGTTGGACATTTGTTGCCCTACAATGAGTAACTAACCAAGGGCGATGATTCCAGTGACACTCACATTTAAATACATACTAGATATGTATGTATGTATGTATGCATGTGGAATCATCCATAGAATGAACATTGGGTGCTTAGCCATGTTGGCAAATATACATATTAACTCATTCACGGTGCGCCACAAACCGCTCGTTGGTTTCTATGTATGCGCGTTCGCTCAAATATCCACCTGACGTAGGTACTATGAGGTACTATACAATGAGTAGAAAGATCATTTTTTAAGCGTGTACATGGAAGTAACTAGCTATTTGCAGATCGCTTGAAATCTTTCCTACGCGCTTAAATAGACAAATATAATATTTCGATTGTACATAACACATATGTATGTATGTATGTACATACTATATATGCATAAATTATCATTGCGTTATGAGTACATGGGTGTACTTGTCTATACAATGACGATTGATGGCCAACAAACGAATCAGGAAGCAAGTACTAAAGCTGTATGCTAAATGTACGAAGGTTTTAAATAGCTAACCAGAGGTGTTTTGCGGATAAACACGAGTATTCCAATGAGAATTGACGTTGCAGTTATGTTGTCATTGCTATTGCCATTTCGTCTATTTGTATACCCCTGGTAACTATGTATGTAGAAGTCAATCATGTAGGTTGAAAAAGTTGTTTTCATGAATTTTACTATATTTGTTATAAAAGGAGTATGTTTTTCGCCCACACATGAAGGGGCTACTTTAAATGTCATTGTTTGGTTGGCTGTCTACTAATTTCAGAGTAAAATAATGGATTTATATAGTTAGAACAAAAATTTACTTTTGCACCTACCTAAAATGGTACGCAAGTGACGCAACCGGGATGCTGAATCCTTTTTACAATCTTGAAACTTGCCAGTGGACTTTTTTATATCCGCATGAGATTTTTTCGTAAACATTTTGTAGCTCCTTCTAATTTGCCTTTACTCACAACATTCTTTTATTGCCTCATCATCGAAATGATGTTTTTTCGCACTTGCTAAATGCATATGTACATAGGTAGATGTTGCTCAATTGGCCAGCGGAGCAGCCCATCAACTGGAGCGATGGAGAATAGCATGCAGAAATACATATATAGCCTCTTTTGAGGCGTTCACATCCGACAGGTGCTTGCTTATTCACTTCCTATGCCACACACAACACTAGATACCGCTTGAGGTTTTCTCGATATTGCTGGTTTTTCTTTTCTCACTGCCACTAATACTGCAGGTGAAAATCTTTTCACATTTTTTCTTCACCACCATGAGACTATCTTCGTATTACCGTATTACATTTTTTCAAATACATTTTTATACACTATATTTAATATTCCTACGATATTTCTTTATTAATTGTGACACTTTAACACTTAGATAACGATTTAGTGTAATTTTTATGAACTTATAACATCTTTTTCTTGAAAAATATTGGTTGCGAAAAATTCAACAGCGAAAAACTAAACGAACAGTGAGAAAATTGTTGACGTTTCTGTCGAAAGAAAGGAGGAAAGAACAGTGTTGCAATTCAGAGTATTGGACAGTACGGAAGAAATGAAAAAGAAAAATAGGTGCACGGTTGCCACTGTTCGTTGTTCCAAAGAACGTAAATGTACGATACATACGATGTAAAGATATATTTACGTTCTTTGGTACTAGGAAAAGCAACAAAGTCCAAAGAACGTTCATTTACGTTCTTTGCAATAACATTGACAGGTAAATTTATAGATTTACGTTTTTTGATCGTACCAAATCATGTTCAAAGTACCAGTTTTGGTAGGAAAGTATAAAAATTGGCAACGCTGGTTGCGAGTGAGCACCAGCCTAGTGTCAAAATCGGTTTATGTTTTTTATTTATTCGTAAACAAAAAAATTTGGTTCGTACGGTCGTTTGGACTTGACAGCTCCTACACTGTAAAAATTTATACTTGATCTGCATCTGCTTGCTGAGTTACTTTAATACGAATTGGGAATAGGTTCAATGGCAGAAGAATTAAATGAATAGCCTTCAAAGTAATATTTGTGCTCTTGAAAATGGGTTCTGTCATTAGAAGTACAATTTATACATTTGTTTAAAGAGATAAATGACCCAAATTTGAAAATTTTCTATATTTCAAATATTCTACACGTTCTCTTGATGTAATATTTAATGTTTTAGGGTCATGTTTTAAAGCACCCATTTCTTCAGGTCTTTGTTCAGAATTTATGTTGGTCATTATGAACTTATATAAGGTATTTAGTTGTTATAAAAAAATATCTTTGTCAACATAAGCTTTCTAGTTTTAAAGCTATGTATGTAAATATGTAATGCAAATTCGAAAAAAAATTGTCATGTGCAAAATATTGGCTTACTCTTTCTTGCCATTCTCGGGTTAAACATGTTTTTTTTTTTGGGGGGGGGGTTTTTGGGTAGGCTGGCTAGTTTTCATCACCGCCAGGTTATTGCTCTGCTTTTAATATAGTATGTTATATTCCATTAATACATCCAATCGTCGCTCCACTGATACGCGATGATAATACCGCTGCGGGCCAGAACCACGTGCAAAAGTTTATGCTTATACATATATGTATCGTACGTTTTATTCCTTTCAATTCTTTGTCAATCATATCAAATTAAAAAGTCTATTGTGATTTAATGGTCCACCAAGTTATCTCTAAGTGTTGCTTATATGTCAGAATATATTATCCAGATAAAAATTTAAATGGTTGAGAACTAAGTCCTTATATTGCTAGGTTACTCTTCCAATTGTAAATTATTGTGTTTTAATGGCCTCATATAGCCAGGTTATTCCTCCAATTTGATCATTTTATAAATATTCGTCAAGTTACATTTTTAAATTTAAATTGAACAATTTCTTATTTCGTTTCTTGGAACAGTTATTAAAGTTACTTTTTTATTTCACAGTTAATTTGTTCCTACGATAGTACCGTATTAACGGTACGCTTTAACATTTTTATTTAAATTTTAGTATCAATTTTCTTTATGCCAACGTCTATTAGATTACTTAAGTAATTATTATTTTGTAGTATTGTCTTCTCCTGTTTTAAAACTTTAGTATTATATTTAATAAACCGACTTCATTTTTGTGTGTATATTAATCAGATACACATCAGTTAAACAAAACTCGACAGGTCAGCACGAGCCATGATTCAATAATGGGTTAAACATGTCACTGAAAAAAATTAGCGCCGGAGTCAGCTGTTTACGTAAATCAACCTTCTTTTGCCAATCTACTCCTTGCTGTCTTTTCACATAACACCTTCACTGTTCCAGAAATCCTTTGGACAAAATGGCGATAGGCGCTTTTCCGGCCGCCAAATTAGGTGTTTTGGCTATAAAGCAGATTAGCAAACCCATAGCTAACGTCATTAAAAGTAATGCCAAGCAGAGCCCTGTATTTCGGAAGTACGTTTGTATGCCACCGGCGCAGTGTAAGTATACCTGGAATTAAGTGTACTCCATATCTAGAGATGGGAGGAGTTAGCTACTCCTCATATGTACCAATTGCCATCGAGCGTCAAAAGCGTCATATCTACCAATTGCCATTGAGCGTCACAAACCTTTAGTAATATCGCCAAATGTAGAAATTTCTTGTTTGTGCAATATAAACTATTTTAGTATTTATGTGTATTATAACGCAATACCTGTGTACCTCGTCCTGCCACTGGAAGACCGCGATCGCGTTGTTGACTGCATGATATAATTAACATTTCTTAATATGTACATGATTTCATGTTATTTATAATTAACTTTTTATTAATATATTCATTATTTCTACAGTATACAACTGGATTGAGGTAAAGACAAAAATGTGGGCAATGAATCTAGGCAAGCCAGTCGCAGTCCCTCCTCTGAACGAGGCCATGGCCATTGAATTAGGTGCAAACTTGTTGGGTGAAGCCATTATATTTGTGATAGGCGCTGGTGTGCTGATATTTGAATATACGCGGTTAGTCTTAATTTGAAAGTACTGCAGTTCACAACAGATTAAATTTCTATTGTTATTTTTTTAACTTCACAGTCAATCCAACAATGAAGCGAAAAAGCAAGAAACTCTACGACAGGAAAAGGCCGCACTAGCGTTAACACTAGCCGAAATGGGTTTCCGACTAGAGCGACAGGATGCACAAATCAGGGAAATGACACGCGCACTGGCAGATTTAGGTAAGTTGATTCGTGTTTGCTGATGATGCTTTGTCGTGTTTGTCTGTTGTTCTTTTAATAAAAAAATGTTTAATATTTTCTGTTTTAGTTTTTAAAATCATTAGAAACGGTTCAATCATGATTAGTGTGCTGTTCATACAGCAAACCATCTTATTTATTGTTTTACGATTTTCGAGTTTTTCATTCATATTCGTAATAAAAATTTGCATATTCTCTCTCAGGAAAACCTATCAGTACGCCAATTTTGCCCAACACAGCAGACAACAAAGCGTCTTCAGCAAATGCAGAAACAGATTCGCCTGCTGCTTCACCATCAAAGACAGAAACGTCAAATAAAGTGGCACTAACTGTCCTGAAGCAAGCATAGACTATCCCATTTATTTATGTTTTTTACCCCTATTCATTCGTTCATTCAATCTCATTCATTTTAAACACGCATTTTCAATTATACCTGTATAGAGTCCCGAAATATATTCAAATGGACCCGAGAAACAATAGCCGAATACCAGCCCTTCAACCCAAATACCCCCGATCAGACTAGTAAGGTCGTAAAAGACTTCGATGGGGACTATGACCCAAATGGAGGTTTACTCTACAGAGCTTTGAATTTCCTAGAGACGCGTGTTTTTATCGATGGACACAAAAGCAAGCAAGCAGCGTCGCCTTTACTTGTCAGCAATCAACTGGATATAGCACCGTATGTGAATGTAGAACATGTCGGGGAGGATGTCAGAACACCTCCGCCACAACTAAAGCAATCACAAGCGCAGTGACTAGCGGAGAGGCGTGAAATGCTGCAAGTGAAGAACGAACTAGCCAAGTTAGAATATGTGATCGAAATGGCTACCACAGAAAAATAATGCATTCTTGGGTGCATCATAACTTAGGTTATTTTATATGTGTAATATTATTTAAAAAGTTTGCCACGCCTTTGTACATGTACGAGTTTTACATTTAATCCTAATGTAGAATTCCATTTGCATTTTCGTTTTCGGTTCGATTCTTGGCTCAGGAGAACGTGCTTATGCACTACAATGTGTATGCACAATGTGTTGCATACATTTTGAAGTTGACAGTTTTGTAAATATTATTTATTTAATAAGACATACACACAAAATGTTTTATTGCTTGAGATTTGAAATAAAAAAAAACGTTGACTAAATCATTTGACTCCTTAAAGTATACGCCTAAAAAATGTGAAATTAGAAATTATAGCATTGTCATTTTTTTACATTTTTCGAATTTGTTGTGAAGAAGTTCAAAAGTATACATACATACAGGAATATCAGCAAAATTTGTTTTCAATTGCATGCAACTTCAGTTCTTGAAAGTTAATAAAATTCTTTCAAAATGCCTGCATTGCCCGTTTTTAAACTGGGTATGCTTGCAGTGCGTCAACTCAGTAAATATGTGGCTCATTTCATAAAACAAAAAGCGAAAAATAATGCGACATTTCGAAATTATTTTTGCATACCACCGGCACAATGTAAGTAAATACAACGCGTGCAAAAGAAAATTCAAATATAAACGTTTTCAAAGTCTACAACAGAGTGGAGACAAGAACGAAGATGTGGACAATGAAGATAAGTAAACCGAATACAATAAAACCACTTTCAGAAGCGGCGGCCATCGATTTGGGAGCCAGCATGTTGGGTGAACTTGTTTTATTTATAATCTGTGGTGCTGCCGTAATTTCAGAAGTTTCGCGGTTGGTTGTAGAAATAATATTCGACCGTTTAAATGTACAAATTTTGTACATATAATATATTTTCGATAGACAGGTGCGTTCAGAACGTCGTAAAAAGGAGGAAAAAATACAAGCGACCATAAAAATAACAAACAAAATCTTAAAAATGGAAGAAACAATTGAGCATCAGGAGAAGTTTATACAAGAAATCAGCAAGGCTCTAAAGTCTTTAGGTAAATAATATTTAAAAGTTAAAGAAGTAGTTTAATTTCCGCCAATAAAGGTAAACAAATTGAGGTGCCGCACGATGAGAAATTCAAAAGCAAACTGATGAGACCAGTTATAGTAACTAGGTCGATAGACACTCAGGTTACGATACCAACAATGGACAAAAAAATACAAGTGACATAATTTAAATATCTAAAGGTATTGTAACGTACACTCTACCCTTGAGTTAATTTAAACTGATGAGAATCGGCAACCATTTACTTAACTAATAATTGTTTATGTATTTCCATCACAATGAATTTATATTAAATAGTTTCATAAAACCGTAGCTTCGCAGTGGTAAGACCTGCATAGTTTTAGTTCATTCTACTTAATACGCGCACTAAATAATTTCAAAAGGTTATTGTTATCTTAAATTTTAATTGCATTACAGAAAGTACAATTCTCACAACAGTCATATAAATAGCTATATCTAAGTGTTCAACTTATTTTATCAGCAGTCAACTCAATGTTATGTCTCCATATAATGCACATAGCACTGTAACTTCCGTAGATCTTCAGCACTGTCGACTAGTTCGCGCAAATAGTCGCGAAAAACTGTGCATATATTGTACAAACTACGTTTTACACCATTTTTAAGTACGACAAAGTTTCGATCCAACTTCTTACCATTTAAATTTACGTTATTCAATTTGTCTAGTTCAGTTTTCAGCCCAAGCAACGATTTGATAACTTGTGGTAGGGTAACTTGCACCACACCATATTTGTCTTCGGTCAGTGAGGCAGCACATATGCCGGCCAAACCTTGCACTGTCCACAAAATCGTATCCGAGTTGGAGAGTAAAAATGCGGTTCGAGCTCCTTCTGTTTCGCCAAACATATAAAACAGACCGGGTATTGTTCGGAAAGCGGTGCGCAAAGTTTGTTCTAATTGTTTCTTCATTTTCTCCACCTTATCGTGTATACGTTTGCAGGCAGGTGACATCTTCATAGTTGTTTCAATATTTTCTTGACAAGGTTCCTCCATCATGCGCCTGATACCAAAGGTTTCATTATACTGACGCAGCAGTATTTTCTCAGCAGCTTCAGTTGCAGTTGTTGGCTTAACGGTGGCAAAAAGTGGTGTAGTTTTAACGGCTGATATCTTTTTAAGTGATGCTGCTAACTCCTCCGTAAATGCGTTAATAAGACTTAAACATTGCGCAGACAATTGGTTCCAGTTGTATGGGTGGGCGCCTGAGTATTATAACATTATTTTAATGTGTTCAAAAATATAATAAAAAATATGACTTACCGGGCACTGACAGCGCATAGATTTCTTTACGTCTCGATTCCGCTTTATTGCTGGATATTCTATATAAATCTCGTGCGCCCAAATTTTGCACCACTGGTACTAACGGTGAATTGATTGCATCGACCAATGTTATTTCTTCAATGCCAACACCGCACAATACAGGCTTCCGTTCAATAACAAAAGTGACCTCTTCCGAAAGTTGTATAGCGAAAAAGTGTTGCATGAGATGCATGTTGCTTAGGATTTGTGCAGCCAAAATCCAGCCGTAAAACAACAGGCGCAGGTTTACCGCAATAGCGAAGAAAGACTGCATGCTCTCATCAACATCTACACCAAACGCATCAGCAAAGTAACTGGTAATTATTCCGCCAATTAGCCAATAAACGAGTCCAAAACAAATTGTAGGTGTAAATGATCGCAACATAGAATGATACAGCGTTCGATAGACTAACGAACGAATTCGAACCCACAATAATTCTTGAACGATAGGAAATTCTAATTCTGGATCTTTACGCAAATTCTCTTTGGCGAAATGCAGGCATGCTGCAAAGATTCCAACACAAACGAGGAACAAATAACGTCCGTTGATACACTTTGTGCCGTAGCAGTCGCAAACAAAATTTCTACACAAGGGAAATTTATTTTAGTTAAAGTTTTTTTTATTTTATTAATGCTAATATAAAATGCTAACCTGTAATCGACGTGCCAAAAATTAGCATATAGCCATGCTGTCAAATAACCCACCAGTAGATGCAATACGAGGAACAATGCTTTGCGCGGAGCAGTATATACTAACCATTGAAACCGTGTAGCGTAATAACGCTTGACTACCAGAAAGGATTTACCCAGTAATATACAGTATAAAATAACTGCTCCAATCAGGGGCAAAATGCTGAACCAGGTGTAAAATGAAAAAAATAAACCCACAGTGTCTGCTACCCACTTCAAAGGATGCAGAACTTGAAAGTTGATGAAGAAGAGGAATACTCCAAGCAGCATGTATTGCATAGCTATGCTATATACGAGAGCAGCCATACATCGCCGTAAGCACAATTTTTTGCATTCTACTAAAATGGACATGGCAACTAATGAAATCCGGAATGCGCGACAAACCTGCGAAATTGCAAATGCGCGTACCGAACCGGCGGCACGTTGAGGTTAGAGCACGTACTTATATTCCCTGTAATGAGGTTTTGCTTTTATCAACCACATTCGCAGTTTTCGCGAAACTATAGTAGGATAGTAGTTATTAAATTATCAAATTAGAAAATTTGCTCTACAAATAAACTAAAAAAAAGCGAATTGAACGTTATAAGCGCCAACTTACAAATTGCGCACAGATGTTTTTGACAGTAAACAAATAGAGAACGTACGTTCTTGGCTGTGCTGCCAGTATGTCAGCGGATAACGTAACGGCGTGTCATTCAAATGGACCAAACAGACACTATTCCCAATTTCAGATGAAATTGCGATACGATTTTCAATTTAAACGTCAATAACAAATAGCAAATAAAAACAAAAAAAAAAGCGAACAAAACAAAAAGAACAACAACAAACAAATAAACAAATAGTCATCGAAATTGAGATTAAAGTTGGGATGGTCGTGTAAAAAGCTACAATTGTAAATTAGAATTGAGTGTCGAAATTGCGCAATTTCAGGTGCGTGGAAACAGCGTTTTACAATTTTTTTACACAGCCATAAACCGTTCAGGCCGGTCCACATAGAACTTTCGTGTTAGCTTTGGCGTTGGCGTTGGTTTGACAGAACGCACGTTAAAAGTATGCTTGCTACAATGAGCGCTTGGCAGCGAATGCTTGGGCCACTACATTAATATACTAACGACAGATAAATTAATATTTCATATCAATAATTGCATTAAAAACGATATTTCTTGCCCGCACTTGATTAAAAAGGAAAATATTTCACATAATTTTATTTATTTGCAACAGCTGACGAGCGACGCACGCGAAAAGATGAGAGTTGGCCATCTTTTTGCTTTGTGTTGGCGTGAGCGTTGTCGAATTTTGGCTAAGTGGACGGCTGCATTTGAATTCATGTATTCATAGTCAGCTGTTGAAGCGACGCCAACGCCAACGCAACGCCAAAGTTCTATGTGGACGGGCCTTTCAGGTGATTCAGTTTGTTTATCACCTATGAATTTAAAATATCGTTTGTCTATATTGAGATTGTAGAGTTGAGATTCACCAACCAAATGTCTTTATCGTCGCTTAAAGTAAAAAAACCTCGTACCGTCGTCCTGCAAAACCTCGTAACTGACATTTGTGCCAAAAAAGATATTTGCTCACCGGAAGCTCTTGGCATCAAGCCATTATCGATTTATATTAAAATATCGATTCTTAGGGACAGTTTTTCAGTGCCCGTTTAAACTTAGATTAAGTAAACTGAGTTTAAATTGAACAGCTGGCTGACATTTGATTGGCTGATCTTAGTTTAAACCAGCTAGGTCGGGCGTTTAAACTTAGTTTGAATGACGGCCGTGCACTGAAAAACTGGGAAATAGCCATAAAAAGAAGAGATAATTAAGGAGAGGCTTTACTCTCACCCATGATAAAAATATAGTAAGGTAGAACCGCTGAGAGTCACTTTTAAAATTCTTGACGTTTCCAAACAATTTAATTTTTAAATTTACTCACAAACTCACACACACAGTTTCATTTTCAATCTCAAGCAACAACAATTTCGAACAATTTCAATTTTTTATTTTCACTTTTATATGATTTTAAAATGTTGGCAAACTTCAAAAAAAAAATCATGGCCGACAAATTGAGAGAACGGTTCTACCTTGCTATGTTTTTATCATGCTCCCACCTACAAAATCTTGGCAATCTCACAAACGAGGTTTTGCATTTTGTTGATACGCGGTTTTGTACTTTAAACGACGATATGTAGTTAATTTTTTTACTTTAATTCGAATACTTGTTTGTAGGGATGCCATTATACATAATCTTATAGCGCTAGGCTGTGGAAAATAACATTCTCACTTAATCGGTCCCACTATAAAACAACACCCCCATTTATTTATTTTTTAAATCTGAGAGATGTACGTATTTTGTATTTATTAACACTTTTGTTGCACCATTTAATTCAATTTATTTTAAGATTTAAGAATTTATATTCCACAATTAAATTGAGGTTGAGTACTCAAGTGCAGGAAAAAGCGTCCGATGAGCGTTTTTCTGCTCTAATCGCATGTATTTTCCTGCTCTAAATGTTAAATGTTATTCTGCACTCTTCTACACTTGAAGTGCACTCTTCGAACAGACATTTCAATTTATTTATCGATTGTATCGATAGTTTTCGAGTTAACTAAAATTATCGATGAAACCACCAGAACTAATGCAGTGACCAATTTGAAATAATGCATTTGGCTCCAGTGTATATACAACATTATGAACGCCCTAAAGGCTGATTCACATACAACTTTCTTCGCTTTGCTTGATAGTTCTTTGCTTTGACATATAAGATCGATGTAGGCATATTAATGAGTATGCTCACATAAAAAACGTTTGAAGCAAAGCAAAACGAAGCAAAATCTCGGGCAACTCTCAACTTTTGTCCGCTTTGGCGATCAGCTGTCTACATGTATCTTTTCTTGTGCGCTTGCATTTGCATTTAATGACAAAAATAGGGTAAATAGGAATTTTTATTGCTATTATTAATGCATATTATTATATTGCTATCTACATGAAATTGCAAACGCTGTTAATACATCCATTCTTTCATGTGCTAAAAATCGTACTTACCTAAAGGGCTACATACCCAAAATTATTGCTACGTGTTCCTAATTAATCAATCTTTGTATATTTGTTGATTCCTGCAAAATTGGGCCATGTAATATTAAAATTAACACATTTTTCTGCATTGTTTACATATTTTTATATGCGTTTTGGCATTTCTCTCTCGCAATTGCACCAAGATGACGTCACGCAAAAATTACGCTCAACAATCCTCTCTCATTCTTGGTAACTACTGACAGAGAGAGGACCTTATTTACTCTCTTTTTTGTCCTCTTAATAGTCAGAGAACCGAGTACTGAACAGAATCTGACTGATTCTGACTAGTCCGGACTCGTACGGGATCGCAACTAATAACTACTGAAAAAGGTGAAGTAATAACGAAGTTATTAGTCAAAATATAAACTTCACGTTCACGCTCGTGTTGAACCAAGAATGATAAAATACACCTGCATTCGCTGCACCGTGGTGTTGAACTGTATGGCGCACCTTTAGTAGCGAAGTGTTCAAATTTTTAATAATTTTTCAACTTTTGTTTTGGTTGAAAATTATTCTTATTTCGTTTCACCCCCATTTTCATCCACAACAGATGTCGCAATTATCAAATCCGACGTGCAAAAGCGAATGTACGATGACAGCGAACGAACAAACGATGGACGAGCGAATGATAGACGAAAGTCTTTGAATTTTCGATTCTCACTTTTGCAATGAATTCGGTGTTGATCGCACGTCGGTACGTCGGTTACGCGTAAATTCTTTCGAAAATCTCTTAAAATTTTCTTAAATAATAGTGGTAAAATAAACAAAAAAAAAATATTCAATTGTGCAAAATGTGCCAGTAAAAAATTAGTTTTAAAAAATGTCTCCCGAAAAGGTTTGCAGGCCAATCGCAAATTATTGATAATCAAATTGGGGGAATGAGTGGAGTGAATTCATGCGAATGTAAATGGGAAGAGGAATAGTGGAAAGAGTAGAAAAATATTAAGAAGAAGCAGCATATGCAGCAACAAAAGCAAAGTGTGAGATTGCGAAGAGAAGAAATTTTAAAATTCATTTGCGAAGGTGATTAGGTATTATTGTTGTATATATGTATAATAAATTAAAACGATTGAACGTTTCTAAAGTAAAAATTAATCAATGAAATTAGTGCACTAGCAAGATAGCGCTATGGAATTATAATTGAACAAAAAAATGCACGTTACGTGTAAATTGCGTAAATACGCTGTCTAAAGTCATGCATAACAGCAACAAAACGAAAAAAATGAAATAACCCAATTGAGGTCATACATTACAAGGTGGTGTTGAAATCGAAGTGTGTGTTGAATGGAAATTGTGCTTGGGTGCGGGCATCAGCAGCAAAAGCATAAAAAGTATCGTTTGTTGTCCAACAGGAAAAAGCAAACAGCTGCTGCGCTGGTCATTAGAGCATAACGCTTGCAAAAGGCCATAATAGGATTCGCTTTGCGCCCCTAGCGCACACATTTGTCCTTGCACACGCATACACAGCGCTAATAAACGTACTCCCTGCAGTGGGCAGGTGTTATCCTAGGTAAACTGCATAAATAATTTATTTGAGTGCTTCGCTGCGTGTTGTAAACTTCAAAATACTTAAATATAATTTAATAACTACGCATGCATAATTAATGTTTCACTATATGTATGTATATTCTTTTTTTTGGTTTTGGTCAAGTACAACAGAGTGTAACGATTGCAAAGTGTAACGATTGCAAGTTGGAAAAAATTCTATAAGCGTCCAGTGTATAAAGTGTTATCGCCATTACGACACAAAATGCATTAATCCAAGCTATACTACCACAAAAAAAACCCTTTCATCGCACTGCAGCTGTCATAGATATTCATTCAGAAAAAAAAATTATAAGCAGTCAGGTAGATACAGCTTAAGAAACGTTCGTTTGACCTAGCAGTGAGTTCCAATAGTGATACGGTATCTTGTGTATGCAATTAGCGTAGACAATTTTTAAGTACATATGTATATGTACACACATTCATACATCTGTATTTCGCATACGAACCTACAAGGAATACTCGGAAAATTCCATTTTAACACTAAAATTTACAACAAGACCAACAAACACGAGCTAGCTACTTCAGCCCCAAAGTCAAAAGCGTAAAAGCGTGAAAATCGAAAGAGCGAAGCCCAACAGCGGTATAGGCACACAGAGTGAGCTCCACCACAGCCGCAACATTTTTTTTGAGTGTGTGTGCTCCATTCACCTACTTTCGGGCCTGTTGTTGCTGTTGTCAGTTGGAGTGCCTCCCCGGCTCCCACAACCAACGCCTGTATTGTTGCCATCAACCCAAAAGCTTCCAATAAGAAGCGTTGTTGTCGCGCGTTTCGTGGCTCTCCGTGTTTCCTATCGTCGTATTCATCATCGGTACGGCTCTCGCGTGTGTGCGTTTCGTTAACTCTCGCTGGTATTCTACTCTTCAGCCACTTGTCCGCTGCTGGAACAAATCAACAAAAAACTTAATTGAATCAAATAAAGTGAATATAAATCGTTTACGCACATCCAAATCAGTGATAAATAATAAATATTATCCGAGAAATTTAAACGAGTGTTAAATTAAAAATATTTGAAAAAGTCGCCAGTTATATACAAGTGTTTTCCTGGCAGAGCAAATTTTTTGTGCGGCTCCACTTTTGAAGGTGTCGTCTATCGGGTGTGAGAATCGTTTTCATGTTTTAATTCTCTACTGTTGAAAATTTTTTATTGATCGCCGATGACAAAGATATGTATTGTGATAGTGCGTTCATTTGCGAAAGTCGTGTAAATCTGCCTGCCGATTGTTGTCGTCTCTGCCGCTTCACCCAAAACCCCTTGTTCAAAATGCCCATGTTGTTGGAATATGAAGCGATTGCCGAGTGAATCGAAACAATTATTGCATAAACAGGTGAGTGGGTGTTACATATGTATGTAGGTACATACTTACGTATGGATATATGTACATTTTATCTAAACTAGTAGACCCGCATGTGGTGTAGTGGTAAGCAGTGCGCGCTTCCACTCCGCAGCACCTGGGTTCAAACCCTGGTCAAAGCAACATCGCAAAAATATAGAAAAAAGGTTTTTTCTTAACAGCGGTCGTCCCTCGGCAGGCAATGGCAAACCTCCGAGTGTATTTCTGCCATGAAAAACAGCTTCTCATAAAAATACAATCGCCGTTCGGAGTCGGCGTAAAACTGTAGGTCCCTCCGCTTTGTGTGACAACATCAAGGCGCACGCCACAAATCGGACTAGAAGCTCGGCCAAACACTAACGTATGTGTAAGCGCCAATCTATTATTATTATTATTATTAGTAGACCCGCATGGCGGCAAAATCCCCAAAATTTAATTTCAAAAACCTTAAAACTATTCCAAATGTTAGTCAGAGCGTGTAGCCGTTTATAAATGAAGGCATGTTTCGCATTCGCATAGTGAGGTTTATAACTTCATTAAATTTCAAACAACAACGAATATCTACAGGTCAACGTATTTAATTTGAACTTTAATTTTTGAAATTCGAAAGAACGGCGCAAATCTAATGACCTTTACAAAAAAAAAGGTTGGAAGCCTTTTCGAAAGTTCCTAAATCTGTCTGACATTGTGATACACATTTCAATTAACTTATGAATTAAAAGGAATTTGATTTTTTAAACATGTGGCCACCCTCCTAATATATATTTCAGAAATAAAAACGCCGTTTAGATTGATACCTATATATGTTCATAATTCATTTAGCTTCTTAAATAAGCTAAACTTAATTTATTAAGCAGGTGGTAACCATCTCCAATCGCCGCAAAAAATCTTAGGGCCGCTTGTTCAATGTTAGGTTATCACTACTTGCCGGTTAAACAGCATTATCGACGTTTTCGACATCATGCAAACAACATGTGATCGATAAAGCAGTCGTTGTATTTAACCGGAGCTTCTACCTCCGATTTGTGCTAATCAGACATTGAACAACCGGCCCTTAGTGTTTAAACTAAAGATATCTTCACACTCTTTCGTTAGACAACCATATTTCGATATTTCATATAACTTGTGTATAAGTTAACTAAATTCGAGATTTCAAGAGGTGGCAACCCTATTCAAAGTATTATCAAACTAAAATCTTCTTCTACCTCTTTCGTCAGACACAAAAATTGTGATACATATTTCTATTACCTAATTTCCCCAATTTTAAGTTGAGTTTGACTTTTTAAACAGGTGGCCATCCATATTTTCGAATCAAAGCCTTTTCAAACCCATTTCGGTTAATAATTCATCCATGTTATTAAATGCTTTGTATTTCACTTTTTAAACACGTCGCAACCCTCTTCAAACATTTTAAGGGCCGGTTGTTCAATTCAATGTCTGATTAACACAAATCGGAGGTAGAAGCTCCGCTCAAATACAACAACTGCTTTATCGATCCCATGCATGACGTCCAAATCGTCGATAATGATATACTGGTGATAACCAGACATTGAACAACCGGCCCTAAATGTTCGAACTTAAGATTTTTTAACACTTTCGGTTGGAACCAGTATTTTCCTATTTCATATAAATTGTGTACTTATAAGTTAATTAAATTCGCTTTCTTAAACAGGTGGCAAAAAGAATTTTCAAGCTAAAACTTCTTTGAATATCCTTCGTCTGACATAATGAATCAAGTTGAATTCAAATGTTTAAACACGTGGCAACTCTCCTGAATACATTTGAGGAAGAACTCCATTGCAAACCCATTGCCAGTGATACGAATCTTTTAATAATTAATTTAACTTATTAAATAATTTGAATCTAACTTCTTCGCCAGGTGGCACCACTATTCAAAAATCTTAAAAGTTATCTTAGTGTTCAGACTAAAAATATTTTAATATTTCATTGTATATAAGTTAACTATGTTCGACTTTTCAAACAAGTGACAACTCTTTTAAAAATATTTAAGTACAAACTATTACCTTATACTCCTTTCGTATTCTAAAACCTAATTCCTTTAATTCAAATTGAATTTTGATTCTAAAAAGGTGGCAAACCTTTTACATGTAGATAACAAATAAAGCCTTTTCAATACCCTTTAGATTGATGCCCATATTGTAATAATTGATTTAACTTTTTCAATAATTTTTTAAAAGGTGGTACTTAACTATTTTCGAAAAAGTGAAGCTTACTGTACATCTACTGACCAATCCCTTTAATTTTACAACTCATTTTTGAAAATCGAACAAATGGTGCGTATGTGATGGCATTGATTATTAAATGATTTTAATTAAATTTTTTAAGCGGTGGCACCTGTTTTCAAAAAAAATAAAGCCTTATTGCACATCTACAGGTCAAGTCTTTTAATTTGACATCTCATTTTTGAAATTCCAAGGAACGGCGCAAGTCTGATGACCCGGACAAAAAATTGCTTCGAGTATTATATATCTACTAGTGAACCCGTATGGCGTTAAAATGGCTAAAATTGAGTTTCAAAACCCTAAAAACTGTCTTGTCAATGTCTTGAATTTTCCCTCTGATATTTTGCAATTCGAAAGAACGGTGCAAATCTAATGACCTTCACAAAAAATTGCTTCTCGTATACCTAATCAAAGATATTTTCAAATTAAAGCTTTCATAAGTCTCTATCGACTGACATACATATATTTTAATTAACAAATGATAAAGTTGAATTTGAGTTTTTGAACATGTGGCAACCCCCTAAATATATTTCAGTTATAAATCCTTTTCTAACCCATTCCGATTGACGCCCACATTTTAATAATTAATTTTGTTTTCTAAACAGGTGTAAAAATCCGTTTTAAATATCACAAAAACATTCCTAATGTTCAAACTAAAGATTTCTTAACACTCTTTCGTTTGACACCAATATTTTAATATTTCAAATACTTTGCGTATAAATTAACTAAATTCGAAACTTCAAAGAGGTGGGAATCAAACTAAAACTTTCTTCAATCTCTTTCGCTTGACACCTAAATTGTGTTACATATTCCAATTAACAGGTCTATTCTGCACGTTACCGGAGATTTTGTAACCGGAAAATTTTATTACCAAAAAATGTTACCAGTTCTTGTCACCGCGATTCTAGGAACGCTGGTAATGCAGTAAAAATATTCAGCGATTCAGCTATGAAGAATTGCGCAAATTCTGGCATTGCATATTTCACGAAGCAATACTTTGTTACCAGCTTACGAGATGGTAACAAAATTTACCGGCTACAAGAGTACACAGAATGCGAAAAGGGTTTAAAAATTGACAGCAACTTTATTTACCGGTTACAAACTTTTTATTACCAGCGCAGAATAGACCTGTTAGTACCTAATTGCTTTAATTAAGTTGATTTTTTAAACAGGTGACCACCCGCCTATATATAAATTTTAGATATAAAGCCTTTAAAAACTCCTTAAAACTAATACCCAGCTTTTAACAATTCATCCAACTTGTTAAATAATTCGAATATAACTTTCAAATATATCTCAACGCTCTTCCACTTGAAACCCGTATTATCATATTTCCAATAACTTGCATATAAGTTAACTAAATTCAACTTTTCAAAGTGAGGCCAACCCTCTTCAGGATATTTAAAAGCTATTACCTTCTCATACTCCTTTCACCTGGCGCCCATATGGTGGTATGTATATATTGAATTTGATTTTTTAAACCGGTGGCAACCCTCATACAGTAAAGTTAAGAAACAAAGTTTTTCAAACGATTGATACCCATTTTGAAATAATTGGGTTCACTTTTTAAATAATTTTAATTAAAGTTTCTTTAAAGGTGGCAACTTTTTTCTCGAAAAAGTAAAACTTTATTGCACCATAGCCCAAACTCATTAATTTGACAGCTCACTTTAGAAAATCGACCTAACGGTGCAGATCTGATGGCATTAAGTAATTATTAAATAATTTCAGAGTGATTGTTTAACAGTTGGAATCTCTTTTATTTAGAAAGAGTATAACCGTATTGCACATTTACAACCCAAACTCTTTCAAATGATACCTCATTTTTGAAAATCGAACAATCCTTGCAGATCTGGACAAAAAATCCCTTCGCGTATTATACTTATAAGATAAGATAAGATGAGATGACCCTTCTATTTATTGTGTATTAACTCCCTAGCTTAAACATCTTAATATATATGTACACCCCGCGACAAACGATAGCACATCAACATAAGTAGTTACCAGTTTTGAGTACTTTTGATTTTTATATATAAATATAGCTCTTTATCTAACAAATACCATATAAATCTAAATTTCAGACTTTGCTAAAAAATTATAGAAATTCCACAAATTTTCATCCCAAGTTCACGCATTTTAATTTTTTTCTGATGGTGTTATGCACTCTTTCCAAATAAAAATTACTTTGTATGGAAGAAACTGCGTGGTACTGCCGCAAATTTTCATATGAGAATCGAAGACGATTTTGTTTAGGTTTAAAAATTACTAGCTTGCTTAGAAATTACTTCTTTTCAAATAACTTTTTATGTATGCGTAACTGATATTTGTTGCCAAAAATTGGATTTGCTCACACAAGCTCTTGGCTCAATCCGTATCTATTCTTCCTGAAATATAGTAGCCAGAAATGCGATTGCTTTATAAAAAATATAACCATTTTGAAATATGAGTGTTTTTACTCTCTGGAATTTTGCAACCCCACATACGCGGTTTGGCATTTTGTTGATGGTAAATAATGTAACGATTCTCTTTAAATTAGTCGTTGTTGTTGTAGCTGCTACTGAACCTCTCGAGTCGGCTCATTCGTCAATGTTTTCGTCAGGTTCAGCTAAGGGGAGGCCCAGGAAGTGCGAAACTTCCGCAGGGTCCGTCCTTAGGGACAGGGGCGTTAGCTGGGTGGGGTTTTGGAGGATGCGAAGAGGTGCCGTGAGTTATATGGCGATTCACCGCATGCCGATCACTCGTTGGGCACATCTTAATTCACTCTGCTCAGGTAGGAGTTTAACCTGCTGCAATATCCAGAGTGAAATTGGGCTATTGTGGTGCGAGAAGTTCCGTCCCGTCCACGTCGGTAGGTTGTGTACCCAAAACGGCATTCACAAATCGAGAGTCTATGTAACTAAAGACCGACTCCCAGTAAATACCGTTTAAGGCATGTCGCTAGGCAGTTGGGTCCAGAGATTGTTTTATGAACCTATGGATTTCGTCCGTCAGTTCGTAAAGATGCCCTCTGACGTGCCTTGGCGAAGGCTCTTCTAAAAGCAGTGTCTGTTTGAATTAGTCCTTCAGGTTGATTCAATTGGATTGTTAAATAAACGCTTAAGTTACAGTACAACTATTATGTAAAACAAACACTTAACAATACTTATTAAAGCAGTTCAGTATTTACAAAAGCAATTGTGTATTTACAATACTTGCTAACGCAATTGATCTCTGTACTCGTAGCTTTCTGTTTTACAACTAAACTCGCATCTCGATCTTCCGTCGATGTCAACTTTCTCTCTGCCGACCACAACCTTTTCCTGGGTACTTCGGAACGCGCCCACTGCTACCGCCATTTTCGGACACCGACGTATCACCATTGAAACGTGGTTCACTAGCTCTTTGCCGAGACCACTGCCTGTTAAACATCTAATGGGCTTGCCATGACCTCATCCTCGTGGTGACCTTTCAGTGAGTTGGAGACCGTGCCGCTTTTCCTGTATCGCTGAACCGCTTCCCTTTTCTATCAAAATGACTCCATATCCATCGCTGCCTACCTCTCCCTAACTAACCGCTTCCGTTGCTGCTGGAATCTTCGGCCTTCTTCTAAGAGCAACCATCTGCTGCAGTACTAGTTGTCGTAACAAACCTTAAGTGGCACTTCCCTGTCGTGATATGTCAGAATAATTCCCTGAAGGCCAGATTAGGTCGAATAATGGAATGTGATGCTTCAGTATCCATTGACAGCACTCGCTCTTGCCAATTCACACATTCACCAACAGTAAAGTGGCTCGCTTTTCGGCCAATTTGTGAGACGGAGATTATGGGGTCTTCAACTGCTAGGGAAAGCGCGTGCCCTTTTCTTCTGGCTCGATTTTGTTTAACGACTGACTGAAGACTGGTTCACCTTTTGCAGCTCTGCGTTTGCGTCCTGCCGAAATTTTTGTTCCTGTTGGTTCCACGTTTTAAATGTTAATCAGTGCCATGTTTTTCACGGCCAGCAGTTTGATTATCTTCTTCAGAATTTCATTTGTCTCGTTCGGTGGATGGGATTTATGAGCTGGTCTACTTAAGACCACCGGCATTTCCCATGTCTTGAGACAGTTTCAGTAAATATTGACCTTGGATTCGCATATGTCTCTCGCACGGAATACATGTCCCGCATACCGTTTATAAATCTCTGGATTTTTACCTTTTCGGGGTGTTCACACCGGTTGGGTTTCCAATTGCCAAGTCAGCGAACCTCTAAATATCAGAAGCGAATTCCTGTAGACTGTCGTTGCCTTTTTGGTAGCGATTCTCCAGCTCCATCTGGTAAATCTGTCTCCTGCGCTCGCCACCATAACGTCTCTCCACCCCGCCCATCAACGCATCGTAACTGTTTATTTTACAGTCGGGAAAAGTCTGCCAGATTTCCGCTGCAGGCAACGAATTGCGCAGCGGATTTATCTTTCATGCTTCAATGGTTTGCTGTGGCCGTCTTCTCGAACTAGATCTTAAAGACCTGGAAGGGGATCGTGCCGTCAAAGTATTGAGTTTTTACCTGTCGAGCGTTAGTCGAAGTGGCTGGACGATTCAACTGCAAAATCGGAGGCGATTTTCATGCTCATGCACCTAAGCTTCGACATTGTCCTGTTTCTCCTTAATTAGCGCTTCGATTTTATCTTGCCGCTCCTCGATTTTTTCCTGTCTCATGCCAAAGATTCATTCGAAAAATAAAAAAAATTAATTAAATTATAAAATGAAATTATTGCATAGACGAATTATCAAAATTAAGTGCAAAAATAATTAAAAGCAGTAAAATTTGTTCCCATTTCACATTTTGCCTAAAGAATATTTTTTGGATGTTCCCAAGTGAACGTCACCGAAAATAAGATATTTACAGTTATGTATGTGGTCTACTGATTCTAACTGTATATAGTATACATACATATATAATTTCACGACGGGTTACTGCGTTTTGCCATCTTTATTGTAATTTTTCATTCTCTAGTAAAAATACTTAAGAAAGATATTTTAACTTCCATACAAGGGTGACTTCTTGCAATATGGCGACTACAATTTTATGACAAAACACTTGTTTTAAAATTTTTTATTTGTGTATGTCACATATGGTACACATTATATGTATGTATGTATGCATGCATAAACAAGTTAAGTGAAGAGAGATGATCTAATTTCGTATCTGTCATCAGATGATAACCAGAAATGTGTACATTAAAAACTATATATAAGTATGCGTAGTTTGTACATACCCAGTACAGCATAGCCCATTCAATTATCTCAGAAAAATTAGTTTATTTCTACTTATGTAGCAACTAACTTTAAATTTATGTATAATTACCTAGCAGCCTCATTGAGATAAACAAAATGCTTACACTTTTGCTACATATCTTTGCAAATATTTCAATATTAGTTGTGAAATCGTCTAACTGTGGGCAATTAACTATTTCAGTACGAAAAGTCATCTATAAAAGAAACATACTGACAGTGTTTAAAAGTAGTTGAAATCATATGCAGAGTCGTATTATACACTGATGCCTAGGACATCCATGTTGAAGTCAACAGTTCGTTACAAGGAAGACAGTCAGATCTTCAACTAGTTGTGGTGGGTAAAAAACTAGCTGAAGATCGATATCTAAACTAGTTTCTTTCCGTACTGGGTATATATAGCGACAATACTCATCCTCTGAAAACCACTTGTGTGTTCCCAAAATTGTAGATATGTTTATATGTACATGAAAACACATTTTTTTTTAATCGACCTAAAATAAACAATGCTTAGGAAATGCGACTTCAACGCCAGTGGCATACATAATCCGCTTTGCTTATGGAACAATTTTTACTGACTCATTGAAATTTCACAAAATTAATGTATCGGAAAAAAATATTGGGAATATCCCGTACTGATTGAAGATAATCCACAATTTAGTCATCAGCGCGCAATACTTGAAAGCGAAGGCAGAATAAACCCATCATTGGCAACCAAACAAAACTACCTGCGCCGGATTAGAAGGCTAAATTGGGAAGAATAATAACAAACACTTAAACAAAATATTCAAATATTATGTGTGTGTATCCATACCTGCCTCATTTAAGCATTTCCTTGTTGTGCCTTCAGCAAGAGTATAAGCAGGTAGCTGGAAAGGAAGAACTATATTGCGCGAGTTCGCTGTCGATTTCGGCACTTTATTGAAAAGTAACAAAAATTAATGGATTTTTCAGTTCATAAATGACTTTGACGTTAAAGTGAGATTAAGAGGTAGAAATGCAAATATTTTAATAATTGTGTATATATTGCAGATATAATCTCTAGGGCTTGCTGAGGTGTTGTGATGAGTTGAGGGCAGAGTAGATCTACTTTCGCAGTATATTATCTATCTCTCTATGTACATATGCCTATTCGCAACAGTAACTGTAACGAAATTAAATTGACTTTTCCCCTTTTATGTTCCATTCCAGAACACCTTTCGTTTGGTCTTATTTAAACGGTAATTTCCGCGAACGTAGAATGGCTGCCGCGAGTGCTGGCCAACAATTACATCAGCAACAACACCATCAACAACAGCAACAACCACAGCAGGAATTAAATGTGATTGCGCTGCGTCAGCCTTTTCAGCAATCAATGAAACATCATCAACAACAACACCAACAAAATGCACTGACGTTGCAACAACAACAACAAGCATTGCCGACGCAGTTGCAACAACAGCAGCAGCACAATCAACAAGAACAGCAAATGCAGCAACATATACAATTGCAATTGCAGCACATGAATAATGGTCAACAGCAATTGCTGCAACAGCAGCAGCAACTACAGCTACAACACCATACACAACAGCCAACGTCACAGCAACTACGCGCCACAAAATATACCACGCGTGTTGCTTCCAATGCGCAAATGTTTGCTCAACAACAACAAATACAGCAGCAGCAGCAGCAACAACAGCAACAGCAGCAACAGCAGCTACAACGACAGCAGCAACAGCAACAGCTGCAAGCTTTACCAGCTGGTATGGTAAATGGCGGACCAACACTTGCTGCTGGCAATAGTGCAACACGCGGCGGCCAACAGATAAATTCTTATCAGCCGCAGCCGCAGCAGCACCAGCACAATACTGCAGCAATGCAGCAACATCACCAGCCGCAGTTGCAACAGCAGCAGCAACAACACCAGCAGCATTTGCAACCGCAACAGCAACAGCAACAACAACAACAGCAACATTTGCAGCTACAGCAACAGCAACATTCGGTGAAAATGATGAATCATAATGTGGTGGTGGCGCCACCTACAATCGCCTCGCGTCAGCACGTCGCTATGAGCAATGCCGCGGCCTCTGCTGCTGTTGCTCTCTCCGCCACAAATAATGTGAGCGTTGGTGCTGCAGCTGCTGCCACCACGGCAACCCCAACGACCTCTACAGTTGCGCAACCGTGCACCGCCAGCATAGCCAATGCTAATTTGGCACCCGGTTGGCGTAGACAAACCAGCAACAATGAAATCATTTACATAAGGTGAGTAGAATTGAAAAATAACTACTTTTATAAAATAAGTAATAAGCCTACCCATTCTTACTAAACATCTTTTCCACGTATAACTATGAAAATGCTCGTTAAACAATTTGCACACGCACTATTTTCAACTCTTCTATTTGTACTACGTAGTATTTAATCGTTGATTGTGTGTCTATTAACACAAAGCCTAATGCGGTTGCCAAACAACCGACCGTCAGTCATTCCATGCCAAGATAAGCTAGTATGTATTTATTTGACTTTGGGTAGCTAAAATCTCATTTTAAACACATTAACCTTGACTTGTTGTCCCAAGGCAACCTCACACACAACAAAAAAGTGCAAGTGAAGCATGTAAATGCCCAAAAACAACTCATTTGTGGCTGAGCTTTACCGAGATATCGTTAGTCACCAATAAATCGTTTATGTATGTATATGTACATATACCCACCTAATAGCACATACAACAACAGCATTATAAGCCCACAAACAAAAACGCTGCAAATAAGTATTTTAAGCTTACCGTCACCCCGATTATGTTTGTTGCAGATTCTTTTGTAAACGATCTAAAAAGCGAAAGCTTTGCCACGCTGCTCCATATAACTCATTTCCCTTTCTTCTTCCAAGGCTCTCTCAACATGTCCTTTCTCCTTTGTGCTGACATGCACAAATGTGAGTGTGTATGTATACCTTAGTTGTGTGTTGAAAAGGATAAATCGCTAAGAAACCATATAAAATGATTAACTATGGCACAAGTCTTCCAATGCTTCGTGGTTGATGCGTAAGCGACTTTTAGAGGATTTATTTTTGGGTTATTTGTTGCAGAGATTTCTTTGTTTGCTTACTTGAAATTAACGTATGAAGGTATATTTGTGGTGACGCAGTAGGGATTTTTGAACAGTTTTAAACGCAAGAACATTTAGATGAAAAAAAACAATTTTCAAAATATTTCCTCAAAATATGGAACTCAGGCATCTTGCCCACGTCATTGTTCATGATTGGTTTGTCATTATCCACCTCCCCTCTCTGGAATTTATAAACGTAGTAGAATTTTTTACTATAATCTAGGCGTCAGTAACCGATATTCGCCTTTCTTATCTTTACGGGGATTTATAAATCACAGATTCATGCAAGGTCGTTGGTGTAGATAACCATCCCTTGTGCTCGCGAAAATCGTCTTCCAAATGCGAAAAGTCACCGACTTATAAAATATTCAAACAAACAACAGTAGCGGGGAAGATCTTTTTTGTTATAGGCTAGGTTCTGGAATCCAAGAGATATCAGATAAAAGCTGAAAATCTACACGCACTTCATTCACAGTATTTGTGCGCCTTTGGTTACGCAGTACTTCCTAGTACTAGAATTTTTTTCTCTTGTGGAGACGTATAGTTACTGATAACAGATCGTATCATATAGTACGTAAGCAGCTGTTTAGACAGAAAAGTTTACACAGGAAGCAAAAGTCTTCCTTTGGTCTCGGTAATTGTCCTAAGTTCCAAAGCATATTTCAAATTACGACGAAATCGCCCACTTGACAACACTGCTTACAGAGCAGGATTGAGAGTGGAGTTGGGAATTTGAAAATGTGCGTTCTTTGATACAGAACGACGCGTGTGTGAGTCTTGCTTGGAACAGAAAGTGATCTTAGCCCACTTCTTTATCCTGAATCGTACGTCCATATAAAACACTGGAAGCATAGCTTCTGCCTATTACTATACCTACTATAACGGAATTGATTTCTGGTTGTTCATTCCATCGCCTTGGACTCTTCCGACTTTTGGACAAAATTTGCCCTTTAAATTTTTGGCGTTGAAGCTGTCAACCCTTATTTTTCGTCAAGGCGTAGGCCCTAAAAACGAGATGTTGAAATATCTCGCTTTGATTTTGATTATGAGAATACCCTTGTTTACCAAATAACCCCACTCTGTGATGGCTAAAATTGCGCTCCTTCGCTTGTTACTTTGTCTCTCTTCCAACTGGCCCCATTCTCGTCTACATAGACCAAATCGCTAAATTACAAAGTACATATACCACAGTTTTAGAGCCAGCTTTCGTTTACACACACTTGCACTCACATATCTATGGCTCAGTGAATGACATGTGCACGCTTACAGAAAATACGCAAAAGGACAGCTATAGAAAAAAATAAATTAAAACTATTGCATTTATCGTATGTACAAGTTGGCATAAGCTTCAGCAAATAGCTATAACAATTAGTGTAAGCTATTAATGTGATTATTATGTACTATGGGTTAAGTATGACTAAGTATGAGCGAAGGTAATTTTTAATGAATAAATCAATAGCAAGCAGAAAATATGTGAATAAAACCTAAACTTGTAGGTTGGACTATGCAAAATTGCACCTACGAGTGATAGTATGGAACATTCCGAGCGCATAATTTATTTAGATTTACTTCGATTTTCAAATAAATTTGAATAAATAAATAAACACATGTACACACTCGCTAACATAATTTATTTTTCTAGCAATTTCTTTTTCCAAAATAGAACGCGAAATACCAGCAGCTGTTTTAGTTTAGTTTTACAACCAATATGTTATGTGTAATAACGTGCTTATATTCGCATACAGTGTCTCACAAAGGTATTCGGAATTTTACTTTTTATAGTAGAAAGTCCTAAAAAAAGTTATTTTATCCCAGTTTCATAATCCATAAATCAGTTTTCAACACATTTTAGCTTTCTTTTTCAAGAAAGAATACAACATCTCAAAAGCAAAATTATGAGCGTACACCCCTCTAAACGTGATCACATAAGTATTTCAAATTTTAAATCTTAACGGACTCGCAAAGGCACCGTTATCCGCACAGATGCGCGTCGCTGTTGGTAGAATTTTGCACTGATTCTGTGTGTAAGACTATGGTTTTTAATGTTTTATCTTAGTGCGAAAGAAAGTACGTTCAATTGTGTAAAATATGGGTAGAAAGTCATAAGAAACTACCTTGGAGGAAAGAAAAATAATATTTAATTAAGAAAATGAAGGGTAAACATTGAAAGTGATATCAACGGCCACAAAAAAAGCATTTCAACCATCCACAGCATTTTGCAGAGTAATTCGTTAACCCCAAAAGTATAATCTACGTCTGCGAGGCGTATACGGAATGGGTATTTTTTTTTAATATTAACACAAAATTAGCTTTTTTTTGTTGTTTTAATATTTAAACTAAAGGTTAGACCACAATGAAAGGAGTAAACTCGTTTTCGAGAAATAAATAAAAAGATTCCTGTTGTTTTATAACCGAGAAAAAATATTTTCGAATACTTTTGTGAGGCACTGTATGTACCTATATACATATGCACCTCAAAGTAAATATTGCGGCGATGTAAACAAACAGCACAAAGGGGTGTATACGAAGAATTCAAGGTGTGCTCATCCATTCGGTAAATTCATCTTCATTTCATTTGTTTCATATATTTTGCGCATGCAAACATACATACATGTCTATATATCGAGCCATAACCGCCAAATTAACGTAAGCGACATTTTTTTCAAAATTTTCTTTTTGATGCAGAAATGCATCTAGATTCTCTAGGAATATTTCTGCATCAAAAAGAAGATTTTGAAAAAAATGGCGCTTACGTTATTTTGGCGGTTAGGGCTCGATATGTACATACAAAAATAAACACAAATATTGAAATTAAATCTTACTTGTGCTCACCAATTTTCCTGTGCCATTTGATGTTTCATGCGTACCGCTTGACTTCCAACGCGCCTGTTCATATTCACACATTTTTGCAACATTGCTGTACACTTCTTTATGATCGTCAACTGCGCGGGTAGTATGTTTTTTATCTTGTTGCAGCATAAACTACACGAGTAGTATCTGCCAAAGACAAATATTTACTTATGGTATCTGATATCAAGTATAATTACAAATAACTCATAAGCTACAATCACGCGAAGCTTTTTTCCATTGTGCATACCATTCTCGCAACATTGACTTGTACTGCTGCACTCAAACACTGGCATAAAGTATGTGTGTTTTTTTGCTCCTATCAACACTGTTGACTTTATGTTTGCTTTTTGTCTCCTCGATTGCTTGTATGATGGTTGTTGTTTATATTCCCCGGTTATATAGCTGTTCGATTATTTGCTGGTGTTCTTGGGTAAATAGCAGTTGTTAGCGCACACAGATGCGCATATTCAAGGTGTGGTGTGGTTACTGTCCGTTCGGCAATAGTGTAAACATCTGCCTTTTCAGATGACTCTTGTTTACAAATGCGGTGGTAAGGCATGCGCGAGATATGTAGCAATAAAATTAACACCACAAACAAACCTAGTTTGTAACATGACATACCCAATTCGGCTTGCTCTGAATAAGTAGGCAGCTTTCATAAATGCTTTGTGGACGTGGCAGTTTACGAACTTACATATTTTGGTAGGGGGCGATTATGAATGCGATCCGTTGTTGGGCTTTTAAAAATGATATCATTTATTCTTTTTGCGTTAAATCTTATAAAATAAATAGTGAGTTGAGAAACTACATTTTAAATAAATATAATTCTACTCTTAACTTATTCAAACGAACTGGAAAAGTATTTAATGCTGTGAAATACATAAAAGCGCTCAGTCTTATTTACTTTAGTTTAAACTACAAAGTAGCTGTCACATTATGTCACTCTGGTTTTCAGACTCAATTGTGAATATGCAGGTACTTCATAAAAGACAAAAACAAGTTTTATTTACTCATCACTGCTGATATGTCACTTTCATTATGTTCTGCTTAGATGTACTATACTACTACTATTAAAGTATTTAATGGATCACAATTTTATGGGTCTCTTATCAGCTATACGTGTAGACAAATATGAAATTATTTTGTTATTAATGCATCAATTGAAGTAGCTTATGCATTTGTAACTATTTAGCCTTAAGTATAATGCATACTAACCACTATGCTATCGAGGAAAAGTGTACATAAAGTTTATCTTAACTTTATGTGGAAGCCATGTGTAAAGAAGATGTTTACAGTAAGTTAAAGTGC